TCTGCTCAGCACCCACCCTTATAATGCCCTTCTGGTCAATCTCTCTACTGCTTTACCAAAGCCATTACCTGCAAAGAAAACCATCAACATTCAGCTTGTATTCAATATGTGACCCCCACCTCCATTCTCCTATATTCAATATGTGACCCCCACCTCCATTCTCCCATATTCAATATGTGACCTCCACCTCCATTCTCCCATATTCAATATGTGACATCCCACCTTCCATGCAACACAGCCACGTTTCTGCTCAGCACCAACCCTTATAATACCTATCTGGCCAATCTCTCTACTGCTTTACCAAAGCCATTACCTGCAAAGAAAACCATCAACATTCAGCCTGTATTCAATATGTGACCCCCACCTCTGTTCCGCCATACTGAATATGTGACACCGCACCTTCCATCCAAAACAGCCACCCCTCTGCTCAGCACCCACCCTTATAATGCCCTTCTGGCAAATCTCTCTACTGCTTTACCAAAGCCATTACCTGCAAAAAAAACCAGCAACATTCAGCTTGTATTCAGTTATGTGACCCCCACCTCCATTCCACCATATTCAATATGTGACCCCCACCTCCATTCCACCATATTCAATATGTGACCCCCACCTCCATTCCACCATATTCAATATGTGACCCCACCTCTGTTCCCCCATATTCAATATGTGACCCCCACCTCCATTCCCCCATATTCAATATGTGACCCCCACCTCCGTTCCCCCATATTCAATATGTGACCCCCACCTCCGTTCCCCCATTTTCAATATGTGACACCCACTTCCATTCCCCCATATATTCAATATGTGACCCCCACCTCCATTCTCCCATATTCAATATGTGACCCCCACCTCCGTTCCCCCATATTCAATATGTGACACTCACCTCCATTCCCCCATATTCAATATGTGACACCCCACCTCCGTTCCCCCATATTCAATATGTGACCCCCACCTCCGTTCCACCATATTCAATATGTGACCCCCACCTCCATTCCCCTATATTCAATATGTGACCCCACCTCCGTTCCCCCATATTCAATATGTGACCCCACCTCCGTTCCCCCATATTTAATATGTGACCCCACCTCTGTTCCCCCATATTCAACATGTGACCCCCCACCTCCATTCCCCCATATTCAAAATGTGACACCCACCTCCGTTCCCCCATGTTCAATATGTGACTCCCACCTCCGTTCCCCATTTTCAATATGTGACCCCCACCTCCGTTCCACCATATTCAATATGTGACCCCCACCTCCGTTCCGTTTTTCCCCACCTCCATTCCCCCATATTCAATATGTGACCCCCACCTCTGTTCCCCCATATTCAATATGTGACCCCCACCTCCGTTCCCCCATGTTCAGTATGTGACCCCCACCTCCGTTCCCCCATATTCAATATGTGACCCCCACCTCCATTCCCCCATATTCAATATGTGACCCCACCTCCGTTCCCCCATTTTCAATCCCCCACCTCCGTTCCCCCATATTTAATATGTGACCATTCCCCTATTCAATATGTGACCCCCACCTCCGTTCCCCCATATTCAATATGTGACCCCCACCTCCGTTCCCCCATATTCAATATGTGACCCCCACCTCCGTTCCCCCATATTCAATATGTGACCCCCACTCCGTTCCCCCATATTCAATATGTGACCCCACCTCTCCCCCATATTCAATATGTGACCCCCACCCCCCCATATTCATATATGTGACCCCACCCTCCGTTCCCCCATTTCAATATGTGACCCCACCTCCGTTCCCCCATATTCAATATGTGACCCCCACCTCCATTCCCCCATATTCAATATGTGACCCCAATATGTGACCCCCACCTCCGTTCCCCCATATTCAATATGTGACCCACCTCCGTTCCCCCATGTTCAGTATGTGACCCCCCTCCCGTTCCCCCATATTCAATATGTGACCCCACCTCCATTCCCCCATATTCAATATGTGACCCCCACCTCCGTTCCCCCATATTCAATATGTGACCCCCACCTCCATTCCCCCATATTCAATATGTGACCCCCACCTCCGTTCCCCCCATATTCAATATGTGACCCCCACCTCCGTTCCCCCATATTCAATATGTGACCCCCCTCCAATTTCCCCCATATTTCAATATGTGACCCCCACCTCCGTTCCCCCATATTCAATATGTGACCCCCACCTCCGTTCCCCCATATTCAATATGTGACCCCCACCTCCATTCCCCCATATTCAATATGTGACCCCCACCTCCGTTCCCCCCATTTTCAATATGTGACCCCACCTCCGTTCCCCCATATTCAATATGTGACCCCCACCTCCGTTCCCCCATATTCAATATGTGACCCCCACCTCCGTTCCCCCATTCCCCACCTCCGTTTCCCCCATATTCAATATGTGACCCCCACCTCCGTTCCCCCATATTCAATATGTGACCCCACCTCCGTTCCCCCATATTCAATATGTGACCCCCACCTATTCCCCCAATATTCAATATGTGACCCCCACCTCCATTCCCCCATATTCAATATGTGACCCCCACCTCCGTTCCCCCATATTTCAATATGTGACCCCACCTCCGTTCATATTCAATATGTGACCCCCACCTCCGTTCCCCCATATTCAATATGTGACCCCACCTCCGTTCCCCCATATTCAATATGTGACCCCCACCTCCATTCCCCCATATTCAATATGTGACCCCCACCTCCATTCCCCCATATTCAATATGTGACCCCCACCTCCATTCCCCCATATTCAATATGTGACCCCACCTCCATTCCCCCATATTCAATATGTGACCCCCACCTCCATTCCCCCATATTCAATATGTGACCCCCACCTCCATTCCCCCATATTCAATATGTGACCCCCACCTATTCCCCCATATTCAATATGTGACACTCACCACCCCCATATTCAATATGTGACACTGACACAATATGTGACACTCCCCCCCATATTCAATATGTGACCCCCACCTCCGTTCCCCCATATTCAATATGTGACACTCCCCTCCATTCCCCCATATTCAATATGTGACACTCACCTCCATTCCCCCATATTCAAATATGTGACCCCCACCTCCGTTCCCCCATTTTCAATATGTGACCCCCCACCGCCGTTCCCCCATTTTAAATATGTGACCCCACCTCCGTTCCCCCATATTCAATATGTGACCCCCACCTCCGTTCCCCCATTTTCAATATGTGACCCCCACCGCCGTTCCCCCATTTTCAATATGTGACCCCACCTCCGTTCCCCCATGTTCAATATGTGACACCCACCTCCGTTCCCCCATGTTCAATATGTGACCCCCACCTCCGTTCCCCCATATTCAATATGTGACCCTCACCTCCATTCCCCCATTTTCAATATGTGACCCCCACCTCCGTTCCCCCATGTTTAATATGTGGCACCCACCTCCGTTCCCCCATGTTCAATATGTGACACCCACCTCCATTCCCCCATTTTCAATATGTGGCACCCACCCTCCGTTCCCCCATGTTTAATATGTGGCACCCACCTCCGTTCCCCCATGTTCAATATGTGGCACCCACCTCCGTTCCCCCATGTTCAATATGTGGCACACCCACCTCCATTCCCCCATTTTCAATATGTGACACCTCACCTTCCATTCAACACAGCCATACTTCTTCAAGGCACTGTGTGTGTATATATATATATTAGATTTAGGGGGGCTAGGGATTATACAGGTGGGGTACTAGGTGCAGCTTGTAGAGGTGTCGGGAATGGCATTAGCAGCAGTTGATTGCAGTAGGTGGCAGAGACTTTGACTCATATATTCACACAGTACCCTGAAGCTTGAACCTACTTGTCTGTAAATAAGCAAGCTTGTGTGAGATGGGGAAAAAAAAAAAAAAAAAGGAGATGTAGATGATATGAAGTAAATGGATTCTCAGGTTCTGCAATTGAATTCTTGGAACTAGAATGAGTAGATTCGCATTCAAGAAAGAAATGTAATTAGCCAGTGTTTGTAACAGTGCATTGCTCCCGCCATCAGTGCATCACTCAGAGGGTATTTGCATGCCTTTGATATTTGCTAACAGCGGGGAGAGCCGCTCCGGGCGGACATCTTCCTTTCATCTCCGGTGAATTTCCTTCTCGGTAATACACAGGTTGGAAGCACATCTTCAGATAAACATCCTGCTGATGATTTGTCGAGTTCTGGTGCAGCTCTTAATAAAGCATGGATGGTTCCAGACGGATCAGCTCCTCGATTCCAGCGATAGTAAATAGACACAGCCAGATTAAGTCAGCCGTGAGATGGGATCCAACACTACAATACATGCCATGATTAGGCAACACATCATTTTCTTGCTTTTTATCGGGTTTATAGTCGGCTACCGACGCTGGCAATCCAAGTCATGCAGCTGTTGACCGGCGTGGCATTTGTTTTGGCTGTGTCGTATTGGAGGGGAAATTTTGCTTGGGACCTTTCACTAGACTGAAGATTTTCCTAATCTTTTTGCAACAAAAGGGAAATCTTCTCTTTGACAGTTCTTGTTTTGTCTCAGCAAAATATATTTTTTTCTGTTGTTGTATTAACCCCTTGGAGACCAGATATAGTGAATGCAGGGTCCTGGGTGACCAGATATAGTGAATGCAGGGTCCGGGGAGACCGGATATAGTGAATGCAGGGTCCTGGGAGACCAGATATAGTGAATGCAGGGTCCGGGGAGACCAGATATAGTGAATGCAGGGTCCTGGGAGACCAGATATAGTGAATGCAGGGACCTGGGAGACCGGATATAGTAAATGCAGGGTCCGGGGAGACCAGATATAGTAAATGCAGGGTCCGGGGAGACCAGATATAGTGAATGCAGGGTCCGAGGAGACCGGATATAGTGAATGCAGGGTCTGGGGAGACCAGATATAGTGAATGCAGGGTCCGGGGAGACCAGATATGGTGAATGCAGGGTCCGGGGAGACCAGATATAGTGAATGCAGGGTCCTGGGAGACCAGATATAGTGAATGCAGGGACCTGGGAGACCGGATATAGTAAATGCAGGGTCCGGGGAGACCAGATATAGTGAATGCAGGGTCCGGGGAGACCAGATATAGTGAATGCAGGGTCCGAGGAGACCGGATATAGTGAATGCAGGGTCTGGGGAGACCAGATATAGTGAATGCAGGGTCCTAGGAGACCCGATATAGTGAATGGCGGGTCCGGGGAGACCAGATACAGTGAATGCAGGGTCCGGGGAGATCGGATATAGTGAATGCAGGGTCCTTGGAGACCAGATATAGTGAATGCAGGGTCCGGGGATGCCAGATATAGTGAGTACAGTGTCCGGGGAGACCAGATATAGTGAATGCAGGGTCCTAGGAGACCAGATATAGTGAATAAAAGGTCCTGGGAGACCAGGTATAGTGAATGTAGTGTCCGGGGAGACCAGATATAGTGAATGCAGGGTCCGGGGAGACCGGATATAGTGAGTGCAGGGTCCTAGGAGACCCGATATAGTGAATGGCGGGTCCAGGGAGACCAGATATGGTGAATGCAGGGTCCGAGGAGACCAGATATAGTGAATGCAGGGTCCGGGGAGACTGGATATAGTGAATGCAGGGTCTGGGGAGACCGGATATAGTGAATGCAGGGTCCGGGGAGACCAGATATAGTGAATGGCGGGTCCGGGAGACCAGATATAGTGAATGCAGGGTCCGGGGAGACTGGATATAGTGAATGCAGGGTCTGGGGAGACCGGATATAGTGAATGGCGGGTCCGGGGAGACCAGATATAGTGAATGGCGGGTCCGGGGAGACCAGATATAGTGAATGCAGGGTCCAGGGAGACTGGATATAGTGAATGCAGGGTCTGGGGAGACCGGATATAGTGAATGCAGGGTCCGGGGAGACCAGATATAGTGAATGCGGGTCCGGGGAGACCAGATATAGTGAATGCAGGGTCCAGGGAGACCAGATATAGTGAATGCAGGGTCCAGGGAGACCAGATATGGTGAATGCAGGGTCCGAGGAGACCGGATATAGTGAATGCAGGGTCCGGGGAGACTGGATATAGTAACTGCAGGGTGGGGAGACTGGATATAGTGAATGCAGGGTCTGGGGAGACCGGATATAGTGAATGCAGGGTCCGGGGAGACCGGATATAGTGAATGCAGGGTCTGGGGAAACCTGATATAGTGAATGCAGGGTCCTAGGAGACCCGATATAGTGAATGGCGGGTCCTGGGAGACCAGATATAGTGAATGCAGGGTCCTGGGAGACCAGATATAGTGAATGCAGGGTGGGAGACCAGATATAGCAGGGTCCTGGGTTTACTAACAGTTTAAGGTGCTTGTGGATGATGCCAAGTCAGCAGGTGACCTTATTGTCTGGACAAGCTGGGTCTATGAAGGTATGTCAATGCTTAAAATGGCAATTGAAACAGAAGAGTTGACATCGGAAAAGGTTTTCCCATTAGAAGCCCCATCTCTGGTTCCAACTCCAAGGCCTCTTTCACATGGGTGGCCACAGGGAGGTAAAAACAGGCAGTTGGCCCATTGTTTTACTGCCCGCTAACCTCCCACCTAAAGTCCACAAAACAGTCAAATAGGCGCTGCTCACATGCTTTGTGTCATGGCCCTGGCAAATTTAGCAGCACATGTCAAGTTGACAGGCGGCTACTCCTGTCAAACTCGACCATTCAAGTCAACAGACCTGCATCACATCACTCACTCCATTGTAAATTGCTGTTCAGCAAAGATCGGCTCCTGAACACCTGACAGTGGCTGCTTAGACCCACTCTGAAAAGTCATTCACTGCAGATCAATTTTCAGAGAATGGGCCAGTGTGATTTTAGATTTCAGATTTAAATTTTAGAATTACTCTCACTTTTTTGTTTTAGTGACATTGGCCACCTGGACAGATACAAAAGGTGAATCTCCCCGGCGGTGACACAGACACCATATGAAATTTTTTATCATTTTTTTCACACAAATAGAGTTTTTTTTTGGTGGTATTTAATCACCACTGGGGTTATTATTTATTGCATTGTAATCGAAAAAAGACCAAGAATTTTGAAAAAAAAAGTTTCTGTGTGTTTTCCAGTATAAAATTTTGCAAACAGGTAATTTTTCTCCATCACTGATGTGAGTTGATGAGGCAGCACTGATAGGCAGCACTGATGGGCACTGATAGGCAGCACCGATGAGGTGAAACTGGTGGGCATTGATGAGGCTGAATTGATATGCGGCACTGATAGGCGGCAATGATGGGCACTGACTGGCAGCACTGGTGGGCACTGATGGGCACCACTAGAGGGCACTGAAGGGTTCTTTTTGGGCTGCACTGATAGTGCCCTGATTATCAGTGTAGATGAATCCTTTCACAGTTTCCGGTTATCAGCAGTACTTTCCTCACACTGTGACAGCAATGAAGCAATAAAGCAATAAACTTTGAAGATTTATTTGTCCACAATGGCTATAGCTACAGAAGTGTATGAGGATTTTTAAGTGCTTTTACTTTGAAAATACTTTGGTGTATGCACTCAGGATCACCTTAAATTATTACTACTGTAAACCCAGGGCCCTGTATTCACTATATCTGGTCTCCCCGGACCCTGCATTCACTATATCTGGTCTCCCCGGACCCTGCATTCACTATATCTGGTCTCCCCGGACCCTGCATTCACTATATCTGGTCTCCCCGGACCCTGCATTCACTATATCTGGTCTCCCCGACCCTGCATTCACTATATCTGGTCTCCCTCCGAACCCTGCATTCACTATATCTGGTCTCCCCGGACCCTGAATTCACTATGTCTGGTTTCCCCAGACCCTGCACTCACTATATTTGGTCTCCCCAGACCCTGCACTCACTATATCTGGTCTCCCCGGACCCTGCACTCACTATATCTGGTCTCCCCGGACCCCGCATTCACTATATCTGGTCTCCCCGGACCCCGCATTCACTATATCTGGTCTCCCCGGACCCTGCATTCACTATATCTGGTTTCCCACAGTACACACAACATGGAAATGCAATTATGTTAGCAAATATAAACTGCTAAATATCTTTTCTCATCAGCAGTATATAAAAGTCTTGTGACTTTTATCAGTGTCCAGCAGAGCACTGGCTAAAGCTTGTAGGAGGAGTTTTCATTCTCCTCTGATTGTCCTATGAGGCTGCATAACCCCTGACCCTCTGTCTGGACAGAGCTGATTGGCCCTGTGCTAATCACATGCACTCTCCTAAGAAGAAAAAAACTCTCACACCATACTGAGCACCTGCAGCTTGCCCCCAAGGCTCTGTTTGATCAGCAGATGGATTGGGACAGTAGAAGAAGGGGAGGATCAGAGAAGACAGGATCAAACAGCCTTTTTACACAATTTGTAGGATTAACTGCTTAGGTTCCACAGCGAGTATAACAAGCATGCTTTACTGCATTTACAGACTAATTTTACCATTGTGGTTTTAGTAACAATTTAAGTTCATAAATTGTTTATATTTTTTGCCATTAAAATTTTAAACTGTTTTAAATGATTCAGCTACAACCTTTTAAGTCGATATAAACAAAAACTGGATGACAATGAGTTTTCTAAACACACTACGTATCATAAAAAAATATATTTTTTTTTAAATCAAATTCTATTTTTTACCTTTTTGCTTCCTTTTTTTTGCATCTCACTGCTGTGGATCTGCTCCAGTCTTTTTTGGCAACTTCCTTTCTATATGCATTTGTTCCAGAGTCAGCTACACCTCCGAAGTGGCTTCCTGATAACAATGGCCCCTGTATAAGATGTGTCAACATTGCCTCTTGTAGTGTCCATCAGAGATGCATGTGATGGGGCGATAACGCAGGAACACAATTGGAAGACAGCTGCCACCCCATAGCAAGAAGTACCTGAGCCGGACCTTCAGGACAGGATATGGCATCCTTTTAAAATGATATTTTTTAATGAAAGCTGCAGATTTAAAGGAATAAAAACAAGTTTTCAAACAATATGAACATGTTAAAGCTCATTTGATATTTTAGTAATTGGGCTTAGATCTACTTTAATGAATTGTATTTGGAGCAAAGCAACTTTGAATTTGGGATTGTTGGTCTGGTGACAATTGAAGGAATGGCGCTCCGGGGTATATATTGTATCTGTACAGTGAAGGAATGACAGATCTCCGTGTCTTTGAGCCGTACAGCCTCTGATAAGGAGAGGTCTTTGCCTTCTCGTCACATCTCTTCTTTTCATCTTGCGACTCTTGTTTCAGATCAGAGATATTTCATTAGATTGTTTGTGACGGGACTAATTTACATAATTATTATTTGTGCAGGGAAAGCGTGAGGTCGCCTTCTCCGTTATTTTATATATGGATGTCAGTGGACTCTACAGGCAATCATAGAGACAATTTACATCCGGAAGGTTGTGCACACGATGTGGCCTTAAATTAAACCGGGGCATGATCGAGATCCTACCAGGGAGACACTTGTGGCAGCTTAATAATTGGAGTTTGCAGCCTTGTTGTGACTCCTGCTAATAGGGTGTCACTGGTTTGGAGGGGAAGAGAGGCTGTGGAAGGAAGGATGGGAAAAAGGCAGGAAGGAAGAGATAAAGGAATAGAAGAAGGATGGAAGGAAATATGGAAGGAGGGAAGGCAATAAGAGAGTAAAGAAGAAAGGGAAAGAGGAAGGGAGGCCAGAAGTAAAAAAGAAAGAAGGAAAAAAGTTTGGAAGGGCAAAAAAGAATGGAAGGAAGTCAGGGAAAAAAAGAAGAAAGGATAGAAAGGGGGCAGGAGGAAGGAAGAAAGAGGATCAATGGGAGGCAAGAAGAAAGGGAGGATAGAAGGGAGTCAGGAAGGAAGAAAGAGGATCAATGGGAGGCAAGAAGAAAGGAAGGATAGAAGGGAGTCAGGAAGGAAGAAAGAGGATCAATGGGAGGCAAGAAGAAAGGGAGGATAGAAGGGAGTCAGGAAGGAAGAAAGAGGATGATAGGTAGGCAGGAAGGAAGAGAATGGAAGGGAGTCAGGAAGGAAGAAAGAGGATGGGTGGGAGTCAGGAAGAAAGAGGAATGAAGGAAAACAAGAAGGAATAAAAAGAAATGGAAGGGACAAGAAGGAATATAAAGGATGGATGGCAGGCAAGAAAGAAGAAAAAAATGAATGGGAGGCAAGAAAGAAGAAAGGGTACAATTGAGAGGCAGGAGGGAAGGAAGAGGGTGGAAGGGAGGCAGGCAGGAAAGAAGAAAAAGGATAGGATGGATTGGCGACAGGACGTTAAGAGAGGATGAAAGAGAGGCAGGAAGGAAGAAAGGATAGATGGATGGGAGGCAGGGAAAAAGAAAGAGAATGGAAGGGAGGCAAGAAGGAAGAAAGGATGGATGATGGATGGATGGATGGATGGATGGGAGAGAAGAAGAAAGAGGATTGATGGGAGGCAGAAAGGATAGAAGGGAGGCAGAAAGAAAGTGGAGGGAAGGAAAGCAAGAAGCAATAAAAAAAAATGGAAAAGTCAAGAAGGAAGAAAAGGATGGAAGGGAGGCAGGAAAAAAAAAAAGATGGATGGGAGGCAAGAAAGAATAAAGAGAATGGATGGGAGGCAAGGAAGAATAAAGAAAATGGATGGGAGGCAGGAGGGAAGAAAAATATAGAAGGGAGGCAGGAAGAAAAGAAGAGGGTAGAAGGGAGGCAGGAAGGAAGGAAGAAAGAGGATGGATGGTGCTAAGGAGGAAGAAAGAGGATGATAGAAAGGCAGAAAGGAAGAAAAAGATTGGAAGGGAGGCAGGAAGAAGGAAAGAGGAAGAAAGGGAGGAAGAAAGAAAGAGGAGGGAAGTAAAGCAAGAAGGAATAAAAAAAATGGAAGTGGCAAGAAGGAAGAAAAGGATAGATGGGAGGCAAGAAAGAAGAAAGAGAATGGATGGGAGGCAGAAGGAAAGAAAAAGATTGAAGGGAGGCAGGAAGGTAGGAAGGAAGAGGATGGAAAAGAGGCAAGAAGGAAGGAAGGAAGAAAGAGGATAGGATGGCTTGGTGACAGGAAGTTAAGAAAGAGGATTGATGGGAGGCTGGAAGGAAGAAAGGCA